TGGAGCTTTATAAACTTGTCTCAAACATGGACCTAAATAATTTCAAGGATGAACGAGCCAAATCGGCTTGGGAAGATTGTTTGGAGCTCTATGAGGACACACTTTATCAACTCAAACGCTCAGCGAACTCGAACAATCTAAATGACAGGTTGACTTGGCAAAGTGCATCCATTGCCAATCACCAAACATGCCAAAACGGTTTCACCGAACTCAACGTTCCCTCTCACCTAAACTACTTCCCCAACATGTTAAGCAATTTCTCCAAACTGCTTAGCAATTCCTTGTCCCTTAGCAAGGCAATGACTTTGACATCATTGTCATCGACTAAACAAAATGGTGGGCGAAAGCTGCTTTCAGACGGCTTCCCCTCTTGGATCTCTCATTCAGACAGAAGGCTTCTTCAGGAAACAACATCAAAAGCTGATGTTGTGGTGGCACAGGATGGCAGTGGGAACTATAAAACCATCTCAGAGGGTGTGGCTGCAGCTTCTAAGCTCAGTGGGAAAGGGCGTGTTGTGGTGCACGTCAAAGCTGGTGTTTACAAAGAGAATATTGATATCTCCAGAACTGTGAAAAACTTGATGATCATCGGAGATGGCATGGGTGCTACTATTGTTACTGGTAGTAGAAACGCGCAAGATGGTTCCACTACTTTTCGTTCTGCTACTTTTGGTAAGTTCATCCTCGACTCTTGTATTCATATAAACCATGCATTCACATATATATGTTCGTGTGTTTGTATATATATATATATTAGAAAAACCTCGTGTATTTTATGAACCATGCATGTGTCTAGTATATATATACAAACCTAAATGAAAATTTTCCATACAACCTAACTCAAAAATTAAAAAATATGGCATTTGAATGACTAAAAGGTACCTATTCAGGATCATTGTTTAGTTTTTCTCTATTTTGATCAGAGCATGTAAAATATAATAATACTGATAAAAAAATGTAAAAATAATAATTTAAATTTCTTTTCACTCTTATAAAAATTAAACCCTATTTCACCCGGGCCAGTCCAGACAGGGACATGAGTAGTACTAATTTCTGTACAACTTAGTGTTACGGACTATCATAATCAAAACTTCCTGTCATTTTACTATGAAGAAATTTAAAGAAAAAACAATCTAAACTTTTCATTTTCCAAACAGTGAAAGTAACCTACACGCCGGAATCAACCATAATAAACTCTGATATTATTATTATTTCAAAAGTGACACAAACAAAAATATTTTCACTTTACACTCGGTGAGAATATCTCTCCATGATAAAGACAAACGAAAATAAAAAGCTTTTCTATTTTATTTTGCATCTATAACTTTTATGCGTACTCACTAGTAAAAGGTTAAAACCGTTGATCATTATTGCAGCGGTTTCCGGAGACGGCTTCATTGCTCGGGACATCACCTTCGAAAACACCGCCGGACCGCAAAAGCACCAAGCGGTGGCTCTCCGTTCCGGATCCGACCACTCGGTGTTTTATCGGTGCAGCTTTAAGGGGTACCAAGACACCTTATACGTGTACGCCAACCGCCAATTCTACCGTGACTGTGACGTATACGGAACCGTAGACTTCATTTTCGGGGACGCCGTGTCGGTGCTTCAAAACTGCAACATCTACGTGAGGAGGCCGATGGGCAACCAGCAGAACACGGTTACAGCACAAGGAAGAACCGACCCTAACGAGAACACAGGCATCATCATCCATAATTGTCAAATCACTGCAGCTGGAGACCTGAAAGCGGTGCAGGGCTCTTTCAGAACCTATCTGGGTCGCCCCTGGCAAAAGTACTCAAGGACTGTGATCATGAAGAGTGCCCTTGATGGCTTGATTAACCCCGCAGGTTCGCCATTTTTCTTCATACTCTATAACTGCATCAATATTCTATAATACATAAGGGTTTTATCTCAAGTAAAAATGAAGTTACAAAACTCTATTACAATCGGTTGGAACAATTTCCTTATCTTTTTAAAGATGGTTACTCCAATCATTTAAGCTAGAGTTANTAAAAAAAATCTTAAAATAGAGTATTTATTACTTTCTACGCAATGGATGTCTCGTGATTATTATTATTATGTGGTGGATATATATCGTTCAAAAAATTCACATGCACAGCATTACATATAACTATAACTAATTAGAGTATTACATTAAATATAACACATTAAAAGAATTAAGAAAAAGCCATATTTGTAAACGAAACATCTATTTCACCTAATCTTTAACTTTGATTTAAAGAAAATAGTTTTGATAAAATTTGTGGCCAATGTTAATCCAAAATTGGTTGACGACCATGTCTTCCTATGGATCACTACTTTTCATTTTTGCATGCCTTGGTGGTTGGAGTAGTCTTTGTCCTAATGAAAGAGATTATGAAAAGGACTATATATCATTACTTGGAGCTAATTACGTATTAAAGAACGACGTAGAAGCAAAACAAGGAGAAATTATCCAAACCGAATACGAAGAAACTGAGGCCACTAAGTTGACACGTGTACAATGCATTGTAAGTTTTTTAAAGAAAGTTTGATAAGAAGGTGTTGGGGGCCACGTGGTGCGACAAAAGTGTACAGTACGTATACACGAAAAATGTAGACGACTCACCAACAACCCTATCAATCTGCAATTTCCCTGTTGGGCTATGGTGGAGAGAGAACACTGTTTGACGGTCACCTAATTAATTACTCTGCTTTAGATAAGAATGAACAACCATAATAAACAAAACCCTAAAACCTAACCTTCACGTGTAATTTCATGTCTTAGGAAACTGCTTTCTTCTGTTCTGTTGTGTTACCATAGGACTGAAACTAATTAATGAAACCACCTTCTCTCTTCTTCCCCTCTCTGCTCTGGTTGGGTCTCAATGCAAAATAAATATAGGAATGATTTGGTATGACTTCTTTGAGTGATAGATTAAATGGTTAATCTTAACTCTGGTCCGATTCATCGATGATATCGATCAAATTTAGTTTTCTAGAATTAAGTTTGATTTAAAATATATTTTTTAACATAGTATTAGAACTATGATTAAAGTTTATTATAACAATATTTATTGTTTGTTGTACATATTATTTCATTGAGTTGTTATATGTCTAAATGATGTTTATTTTGATGTATTAAAAATTTCATGTCGACTAAAAATAAAACTAATTTATAATATACGAGTGAATATAAAACTTATTTTACAAAATAGTGTTGTGGAATTAAATTAAATTTAATTAATTAGACTTAATTAATGATACATTTACTGTATCATTAATTTCTAATTGTAAACTTTGAAATAACTTTGTAAACTATTTTTACAAACAACTAAAACATAAATTTCAAGACAACTTTCATATTCGACGTACCAGAACTTACGCTATTGACCTCTACGGTAGACTCGAAAAACCCAAAACAGAAATGTAAAAGCATTTCTTTCCCGTCTTTTTCGTTAATCTTATTCGTTTGTTTATTTACGAAAATAATTCATAATGATGAAAAGTCACCTAATATTATTGGAAGATGATGTGACAAAATGGAGGGGAAGAAACACGAATATTATTAAGACTGTATTGCCTTGTGTTTTACATATACGAACGATTTTATTAAATTTTAATTTAACATGTATCCCTCTAGCTCTGGCCCCTTCTAGTTTGTGCAAAGTCTACAGAAACACCTAACATGATTTCAAGTACGCTGAATAAGTTATGATTACATTCCCACGTCTGATTGGTTGACAAACGGTAAATCATTGGTTTAAAGAAAAAAATGTTCTCCTTTACTGGTGGAGAAAAGAAAGAGTGATAAGAAACAGCATATAATATAAAAAAAATACAAGAAAAATAAAAATAAAATGAGATGGGAGATAAAGTAGATGTGTGACAATAATTGAACAGAAAGCAATTGTTGTGATGAAGATATTTGGAAACAAACTTATTCGAAAAAGTTTCACTGTAATTTTTATAAAAGTAAATTAAAGGTAATGAACAGAAGAGTTATAAATTTACTTTATAGTTTTAACCAAATAAGTTTAATTATTTCAGCCTAATTGATTTCATGATAAGGTGAACTTAAATGATAAACTCTATACAGACATCTTTCAAATAACACTTACTATTACATATAGATGGTATTATCTCAGGTATCACACGTTTACTTTGTACTTACTGTAACTTGTATATGCGAAAAATTTGATTGACAAACAAATTACAGAGCCCTGATATCATCTTATGAACCATTTCTTTTCAAAAAGATACATAACAAAAAATTATAGATTGCATGCTAACCTGTGCCTGAAATTCAAAGAAACGTGACTCAAGATTAACTTTAAGGAACTACACTAAATTTAGTGGAAATAGTGTGATACCCCTGAGTTTGGTATTCATAAAGCTTGATGAAAAAGTCATAATAACAAGATTCCAATAACTTAAATGTGAAAGAAGTTTCATCAATATGCAATAGAGGATGCGTGGATATAATTACAGAGCCAAAACGAGTGGGATCCAATGGGGAAAGTGAAAGCTAAATGCTGCTATAGCTATTGTAGTTAGGCGACTAAACTCATGCTTTGAAATAGAAAAAGCATAACAGTGCATGGACCATTATCTAATTGTTATATTGCGTCTGTCACTTCCACTTTATGAAATCTACGTGGCCAAAAAGTTTTAAAAGTCCGAAAAAGTGAATTTACGTGGCAGAAAAATTGCATCACGCGTTAAGTTGATTAAACTAGTGGCTTATCTTGGTCGCTTCAACTAATGTTATAGCACAGGTTGCTTTCCCTTAATTTAATTTGACTAATTTGTAACGTAAAAACACTATCACGTAAACATCATGCATGCCCCCCAAATTACATGTCCATGCACTTTTCAAATGGAAAACCCTAATGTGGGTTCCTCATGCGCTTTTATACCCACATATATGTATACCAGCATGGCCTACCAATGCCAAGTTCGAGGCTATATATACCACCTTTCCCTTGCACTTTTCATTCACAAACATTTCTAAGAAAATCCTCTCTTTCCTAGAAAAAGCTCACCAATTCAAAAGCCATTTTGATCATTGCATTTTCCATATGGAAAAGCTCATTTTCAACTGTTTCATTGGATGCTGTCTTCTTTATTCTCTCTTGCCTGTGCATGGCAAACCATTGTCATGCAATGAAACACCCTACCCCCATGTGTGCAAACATTACGTTGTCACTACCAACACACTATCAACCCTAGATGCTCCGTCCTCTTCCTTCCACGACGTGGCCCTTAAGGTCACCGTGGATCAAGCCATGGAGCTTTATAAACTTGTCTCAAACATGGACCTAAATAATTTCAAGGATGAACGAGCCAAATCGGCTTGGGAAGATTGTTTGGAGCTCTATGAGGACACACTTTATCAACTCAAACGCTCAGCGAACTCGAACAATCTAAATGACAGGTTGACTTGGCAAAGTGCATCCATTGCCAATCACCAAACATGCCAAAACGGTTTCACCGAACTCAACGTTCCCTCTCACCTAAACTACTTCCCCAACATGTTAAGCAATTTCTCCAAACTGCTTAGCAATTCCTTGTCCCTTAGCAAGGCAATGACTTTGACATCATTGTCATCGACTAAACAAAATGGTGGGCGAAAGCTGCTTTCAGACGGCTTCCCCTCTTGGATCTCTCATTCAGACAGAAGGCTTCTTCAGGAAACAACATCAAAAGCTGATGTTGTGGTGGCACAGGATGGCAGTGGGAACTATAAAACCATCTCAGAGGGTGTGGCTGCAGCTTCTAAGCTCAGTGGGAAAGGGCGTGTTGTGGTGCACGTCAAAGCTGGTGTTTACAAAGAGAATATTGATATCTCCAGAACTGTGAAAAACTTGATGATCATCGGAGATGGCATGGGTGCTACTATTGTTACTGGTAGTAGAAACGCGCAAGATGGTTCCACTACTTTTCGTTCTGCTACTTTTGGTAAGTTCATCCTCGACTCTTGTATTCATATAAACCATGCATTCACATATATATGTTCGTGTGTTTGTATATATATATATATTAGAAAAACCTCGTGTATTTTATGAACCATGCATGTGTCTAGTATATATATACAAACCTAAATGAAAATTTTCCATACAACCTAACTCAAAAATTAAAAAATATGGCATTTGAATGACTAAAAGGTACCTATTCAGGATCATTGTTTAGTTTTTCTCTATTTTGATCAGAGCATGTAAAATATAATAATACTGATAAAAAAATGTAAAAATAATAATTTAAATTTCTTTTCACTCTTATAAAAATTAAACCCTATTTCACCCGGGCCAGTCCAGACAGGGACATGAGTAGTACTAATTTCTGTACAACTTAGTGTTACGGACTATCATAATCAAAACTTCCTGTCATTTTACTATGAAGAAATTTAAAGAAAAAACAATCTAAACTTTTCATTTTCCAAACAGTGAAAGTAACCTACACGCTTGAATCAACCATAATAAACTCTGATATTATTATTATTTCAAAAGTGACACAAACAAAAATATTTTCACTTTACACTCGGTGAGAATATCTCTCCATGATAAAGACAAACGAAAATAAAAAGCTTTTTTATTTTATTTTGCATCTATAACTTTTATGCGTACTCACTAGTAAAAGGTTAAAACCGTTGATCATTATTGCAGCGGTTTCCGGAGACGGCTTCATTGCTCGGGACATCACCTTCGAAAACACCGCCGGACCGCAAAAGCACCAAGCGGTGGCTCTCCGTTCCGGATCCGACCACTCGGTGTTTTATCGGTGCAGCTTTAAGGGGTACCAAGACACCTTATACGTGTACGCCAACCGCCAATTCTACCGTGACTGTGACGTATACGGAACCGTAGACTTCATTTTCGGGGACGCCGTGTCGGTGCTTCAAAACTGCAACATCTACGTGAGGAGGCCGATGGGCAACCAGCAGAACACGGTTACAGCACAAGGAAGAACCGACCCTAACGAGAACACAGGCATCATCATCCATAATTGTCAAATCACTGCAGCTGGAGACCTGAAAGCGGTGCAGGGCTCTTTCAGAACTTATCTGGGTCGCCCCTGGCAAAAGTACTCAAGGACTGTGATCATGAAGAGTGCCCTTGATGGCTTGATTAACCCCGCAGGTTCGCCATTTTTCTTCATACTCTATAACTGCATCAATATTCTATAATACATAAGGGTTTTATCTCAAGTAAAAATGAAGTTACAAAACTCTATTACAATCGGTTGGAACAATTTCCTTATCTTTTTAAAGATGGTTACTCCAATCATTTAAGCTAGAGTTATTTAGATTTATTTTTACTTCAATATAAGATAGAAAAATCTAAACAATAATAGAGAGCGACATGAGATAAGGGTTACTCGTTGGGGTAAGACCCACATCCCGTGTCCTTTGTTACTTTCTTTTGCTCAAATTAGATTAGACAGTGAAGTTAGAAACTTTCATATTCTGACGATAGACCGTACGAAGAGAGAGAAAGACTAGGGTTAAAGTGGGACTCTTTATCTTTCTTCATCATGCAAGTACAATTGCTAGAAGGAAAAAAAAAACTAATGGACACTGATAATTATGTTTTGACTCCTGCTATCACTTGATAATTAGTAAGAGAGAGTTTTCTTATGGTAAAAGTGTATGACAATAAGTTTTAAGTGAAAAGGAAGTTCTATAAGTATTTTTTATTAAAAAATTGGAGTTATAAAATGATTTTAGATGTACACAGTAAAGTAAGAGAACGTATATATAAAAATAATTTAGGTATGATACAATAGAATAAAAGAGAGAAAAATAACAAGAATTAATAAAAATATATAACTATTCACACTCTTCTTAACAAGATGGGGATGTTCGAAAGGATAATAACTCTCTACAGGAGTCTGCGTGCCCTTTGGTGGTGTATGGGGACAGAAAGAAAAAGAGAAAGAAATAATTGAAAGATAAGAAAAACTAAACTTACCCTAAAAATAATTTTTATCATATTTAAGAGGTATAATTATTATTTATTTGACAACTTACACATTTTAGACCTGTTTAATTATAAAAATCAATTTTAAGATTTTAAAATAATTTTTAATATTTAAATAAAAAATATTTTAAAATAAAAATAATAAAAAAATTTAATATTTTTTTNCTAGAGTTACTTAGATTTATTTTTACTTCAATATAAGATAGAAAAATCTAAACAATAATAGAGAGCGACATGAGATAAGGGTTACTCGTTGGGGTAAGACCCACATCCCGTGTCCTTTGTTACTTTCTTTTGCTCAAATTAGATTAGACAGTGAAGTTAGAAACTTTCATATTCTGACGATAGACCGTACGAAGAGAGAGAAAGACTAGGGTTAAAGTGGGACTCTTTATCTTTCTTCATCATGCAAGTACAATTGCTAGAAGGAAAAAAAAAACTAATGGACACTGATAATTATGTTTTGACTCCTGCTATCACTTGATAATTAGTAAGAGAGAGTTTTCTTATGGTAAAAGTGTATGACAATAAGTTTTAAGTGAAAAGGAAGTTCTATAAGTATTTTTAATTAAAAAATTGGAGTTATAAAATGATTTTAGATGTACACAGTAAAGTAAGAGAACGTATATATAAAAATAATTTAGGTATGATACAATAGAATAAAAGAGAGAAAAATAACAAGAATTAATAAAAATATATAACTATTCACACTCTTCTTATCAAGATGGGGATGTTCGAAAGGATAATAACTCTCTACAGGAGTCTGCGTGCCCTTTGGTGGTGTATGGGGACAGAAAGAAAAAGAGAAAGAAATAATTGAAAGATAAGAAAAACTAAACTTACCCTAAAAATAATTTTTATCATATTTAAGAGGTATAATTATTATTTATTTGACAACTTACACATTTTAGACCTGTTTAATTATAAAAATCAATTTTAAGATTTTAAAATAATTTTTAATATTTAAATAAAAAATATTTTAAAATAAAAATAATAAAAATTTTTATTTTTTTTTTTTATTTAAATTAAAAAAAAAGATTTCTGAAACTAATATCTAAAAATAGAGAAAAAATAACACGAGTAACTGTTAACTGGAGTATTTATTTACGTACTTACGGTTGGAGGGAAACTGGTGTTGTTTCTACAGGTTGGTCTGAGTGGAGCGGAAACTTTGCACTGAGCACTCTATATTACGGTGAACATGCGAACACAGGAGCAGGTGCCGGCACCGGAGGGAGGGTGAATTGGGGAGGGTTTCGTGTGCTCTCCAGCGCTGAGGCTGTGAAGTTCACCGTCGGAGAATTCTTGGCCGGTGGCTCGTGGATTCCTGGGAGTGGCGTGCCCTTTGACGCAGGTTTATGAAAAAGGAAAACTGAAACGATGTGTTTTGTTGTGTTGTCTTGTGTTGTGCTGTGTTGTGTGGTCAGTGTGGTGGGTGGAGTGGGGAGGACTTGGGTGGTGTTGTTTCAAAATTGGGACATAACAACTTCCTTAAAGAAAGGAAAACTAAATTGTCATGTAGGTTCTGTGTTGGGCTCTTCCTTGTACAGAGGGTACACAAAATGCTGTACTTCAGGTTGTGGGCTTCGTCTTCCCTTGCCTTAAGGACACTCTGTTCCTTTTGTCGACAGAACTTCAAGGAAGCATCGATCCATCCATGATGATACTTGATAGATAGATAGATACGAATATTCAATATTCTGTACTTCTTTTTTCTGACGTGAAGATAATCCTGTATATATATATATGTATATATTATATATGTGAATAATTGTAGTGGAATGTCACCCATGTGTGTTCATTTGCATAAGTGTATAAAAGTTTCTGATTCAAGTTTTTCTATCTTGTACTATATCTTCATAAATATTGAACATCATTCTTCTTCAGGTCCTCTATATATTTTTATGTCTTTATTTCACCCGATTATATCATTATTTTTTTGCAAAAAAAGTATATATAGGAAACATACAAAAATGATTTTTCTATCTTAAAATATCTGTTTCTCTTTTCACTAAACACCCTTTTAGTCTCTAAGTTTATTAAAATGGATTAAGAAGTCATTCTAAATGTATACTTTTCAAAACAAAAGTCATTTGTGCCAAATAACACCATTGATAATTATAATCCCTGCTATAGGACCCACAAACCAGTGGCGAGAAATTTGGGGCATGAAATTTAAAATTAGAAGAAAAAAATATCTAAACCGACATGGAGAAAAAGATAAAGACCCTGCCATTAAACCTTTCTTATCTCTGCTAATCTTAAATCGTATAGACGTACATGATAACAAGGAAAAGTAAACTATAAAAGGAAATACAGCTATACATACATACATACATGAAGCTCATAGCCGCAAATTATAATTGAATTTATATTACGTTAAACGGTTGTAATTAATGTTTCATTATCCTGACCAGCTGTGTATTCAGATAACTAAATACGTTCACTGTTCATTATCCTTGTCTTCTCTTATTTTCTGTTAAGTTATTTAATCATCTGAACTAAAAGAAAGGGTGTTTGTACGTGTGTGATAAAATGCACACTGCATGAAATTAAACAACCGTTTATAATAGTATAAGCACATCGCAAAGAAGATTAGTGATACGTAATTGTAGTATAAGTTGTCGTTTTCTAGTTAAGATGATAATTAATTGATTAAGGAAACTAAGTCACATGGAAAGTTAAACAATGTTAGGTTGTGGTCCTCTGTTGATGTTAACCTTCTAAGTATGGATTGTGATAGCTATCAAATAGAATTACAGAAAAACCAAACGGTTTTGCTCTGAAAATACAAGTCATGATATGTCTGGTCTTCTTCTTCTGTATTTTTTCCTGTTTAGCCGCCAGCAACAAGTTGTAATTAGCATATTCTTCTGTGAAAAATTAATACGATTATCGTGGAAAAGCAAAAGAAAATGAAGTATGATAAGATGTTTAAGACTTAAAAGGCTTGTGTATATAACTGGTCCACCCATCATTTCTAATAGCTGTCTTTTGGTGGCTTTATCTTTAATAAACTACGATTTAAAATTTCAAATTATGTTGAACAAAACCAGGGAAATGATTGGAGGAAAAAAAAACAGATTAAAAACTTAACTTAAAAATAAAACTATAAGTAAGCGTCGACTTTGTTGTATTAATTTGTGTACTGTCTTTTTCATATATAGTTACCGTCAATTTTGTAACACTTGTATGCGACAAAATATATAAAATGTAAAATAAACTAAAAAAATCACAAATTAAACTATTTGTTATTCTGATTTTTCAAAACAAAAACCGAAGTGTATAAATTAATTTGAACTATTTTACGTTTCATTTACATAAATAGTTATGATAAAAATTACTTACTACTATATAATTAGTGTTTGTTTGTGCAACGTGTAAATTATTTTCAGATTTTCTTTAGGGTCCTGATCGAAAAAGCGTACATGGTGCAACATAATTAACACTGTCATTTTCTTATATTTCCATTTAACAACCATAATTAGTATTATTTTATTTTATAATTTTATTTATATTTATTTTGTTAGTAAAGGGCAAAATCATAAACAATCCCCAGAAAAAAAATCCAGATAAATCAAGATTGAAATTTTTTAGTGTGAGACAAATTATAACTAATAGTATCTCAATTAATATTAATCTGAGTCTCATTTATTTATTGTTTACTTTATTAAAGAAAAGGTTATAAGGTTGAAGAGTAGTGGGGCTCATAGCTCACAAAGGGCCCAGGCCCAGCCCAGGACCATGCATTAAATCAAAACTATATGGATGTTTTTTACACGAATGAACGTTTTGGTAAGTCAAATCGGAACCTGTGGTGATGATCACAACATGAAAGGTAACGATGGATAATGATAACCTTGTCCATAGATAATTTATTAAAAAAATACTTTCTACAGTGCATTTTTCCATAAACTTTAGAATGTCCTGATAGAAAACTCTTGAAGAAAGCAGTGACCTTTTATATGGGTGGAGTTATAAAGTCAACATATATTAACAATTGTAATTATAAAATAGAATTATTAATATTATTATAATCTCTTAATTTTATAATTTATTAGGATTAGACGTCCATCACTGCCTATAAGGGCCTAAGTGATTAAGAGATTTCAATCTCATTAATTCATTTAATTAAAAGATTGGTATGATTAACAAGAGTGTGAGAAGTAGATATACTAGAAATCTCTTCAAACAATAGTGTGTGAAACAAAGTTGGGTAGTAGGACCAGATTGTCTCTACCAACCGATCAGAGGTTTGAAAAACAACATTTATATGTCATTAGTCACACTGTCAACTTAATAGCATAAATTGCAATCCTTCCACTAAGCTTAACATCATAAATTCACTCGTTGCCCCAACCATACTTCATTTTTACCAATATTTTATATAATCTCAACCTAAAAGTAAAAACACATTTTTGTTTTTCAAAGACAACGTTATTTCTGGCAAAAAAGAAAAAAACAAACTATGAGAAATGGATGTTTTGTTCTGCTATTATTATTATTGATATAAACACGTTCGATAGCGAATACCAGTAAGTGAAAGGTATCAATTTTCGAAACCTGTTCCTCGAATAAAGGAATCTTGTCACTATAATTATAAATATATCTATGGAATGAAAATATTGAAAATTCAACTCCTCTTTCTAAAGCGTAATAAAAAGATGATGATGATATTGAACAAATGGATGATTCTTTCTTTCATTCCTCCATTTTTTCTTTCAGATGGATGGTTTCAAGCTTTTCATATTATAATTATTTTTACCCATTTACTTGAAAACGTTGTACTCATATATTTACAGTTTCTCTTTTTGCCAAACTTTTTTTATATTTATCTTCAGTAGTCGGCAGGAGTTAAATTAAGCGTTATTTTAGAAATTATTAAGAGAACACTGAGGAAAATTGTGTGGTCATATCTCTATTATTAGATTGTGCCTGCCTATATCTTATCTTAGAACTCAAATAATTTTAGGGAAGATAGAATATGTTTATTTGATTACACTATCATTTAACATAACATATAAAATATTTTTGTTGTTTTTTTCATAATACATCCTTTTAGAAATTATCTTTATCATATTTTGTTATAGATTCATAAATATAATTCTTGTAGACTAATAATTAATAGAATGTAAAGAAATATTTTGAAATCAATTAACCTTGTACGTATTTTTTCTTGTTATTACGTACAATTAATTGACTACATGTTACGGTACATAGTTTGATTCTTAAAATATAATATTTTTATTTTAAAATTTTTTAAAAACCAACAGAAAATTATTTTTTTAATATATTGTTTCATTGTTTTTTTAGACATATTATTTTATTCGTTAATATCAAGTCTCACACATTAAATATATCTTAAAATGAGGAAGGTAATCTTATATAATCTCACTTTATAAACTAGTCTTGTAAAATTAAAAACTAGTTTTGTAAAATTAAATCAAACTTAAAATCCTTTAACTCAAATAAATTCAATCTATATGTGTTAAATTTAGATTAGAAATGGATTAATATCCCAGTAGCCAACGCAATCTAAATCAAATATTATTCATCATCAAATCATATTTTAGTAATTTCTATCTAATCTTTGTCCCCTCACTTTTGAATGGTTAAATAAATAAAAAAATGTTATACAACAAATATATACTAATTGCAGTTTCAAACGGTAGTCGCAAAAATATTTGTTATTAACATTTAATTATCATTGTAGTATACTTGGTGGTTATATATGTATCATTCTTACCTTTACTTTTTGGTGAAATCGATGACATGCATTGTTGAATTATAATGTTTTTCATCAGTTGTCATATATACCATCATAATTTGATATCGTTCTGCTTACCAATATCTTACGTCACTATCCTTGTAACTTTAATGTTTCTAATATCTTTTCTCAACTTCAAACTCTGTCTTTATATACACTGATGGAGAGAAATAAATCATAATACTAGGTTGAGGATTTTCGATACAAAATGACCATCAAGGATACTTTAACAATTAATGTTGTAGATATTAG